ATATAGCTGCCCATCTCAGACCAGTGACTCTGGGCGGCTAACAACAATAAAAACAGTCAACACTTAAAACAGTACAAAAAATTAAATATAAATAATATAGCCAAGAGATCTTAAAAAACCGTTGGTATCAGCATAACCATAAAACGGGGTCTTTTGCATGCTAGGGGCCCCAGGCCCAGGCATAAAGCCAGGTCTTCAAGGCCTTCCGAAAAGCCTAAGGGTCGGGGCCATTCTAATCTCAGGAGGGAGGATGTTCCAGAGGGCAAGCACCACAGCAGAAAAGGCACGTCTCCTGGCCCCCGCCAGCTGACAGTCCTTGACTGATGGGGCCCAGAGCATGCCCATCCTGCTGGACCGGATTGGATGGGCAGAAACAACCGGGAAAAGACGGTCCCTAAGGTAACATTCCTATACAGGGATTTGTTTATTTAAAAGTCAGCCATATCACACTCAGTAGTTGCTGTTAGGAAGAAGAATTAACAGCTAACCTGGTCAAGACTGATAGCAAACTGGTTGCTAGGTCACATAGGATGGTAAAGAAACAGGGAAAAGTTCTAAGTTTATGATCTGCATCTCCTGCAGGTTTCTGTAATTATTAATAGCATAGCTACAAAGAATCTGCCCATCTTTCATTCTACAATATTATCAGAGAAGCTAATTGACTGAAGACGCCCTATGATTTCTTCCTTCGTCAGCTGGGAAAAAAATCTTATTCAAACAAAAGAAGAATGGAGCATGGTCTACTGAAATGCAAGCTTCTAGTCTGAAGGACACCAAAAAAGAGGGCAAAGGTGGAGTAAGTATTCAGGATGACGGAGCATGTGTACTAAAGGGCTGTGCTGGTTCTCCTCTGCAAAGGGGAGGTAGGCAAAAGAGAATTTGCTAGGCTGATAGCTATTTGTTCAGCACAGAAGCCTCAATCAAATGTAAAAACACTTTCTACTAGGAAAGAGCATATGCCATGCAAAGAAATACATTTAATATTTGGAATGACAGATAGTCTTCCTGCGTTACAGAAGCAAGCATATTATAAATCAATTTGCGATCAAAATGCGAGTAAATGTCACCCTAATATGGAATGTCCCCCAGTAATGACTAGCCACGCAACTCCAGCTACCTATCCCTGTTCCAGGAACTGAGAAACGGACCGTCGCCTTTCCGTGTGTTTCAGAATGTTGCATCACTTCATGAGTAACCTCTTCTATGGCCCCATGGCCGTTAAGCCTCTGGGTAATGTGGGTCGGCTTGGTTGCTGCCCCGGCTGTGACATCTCTTCTTCTTTGTTTTTATTACTGTATTATTTTATTTATTTAGAGACACTGGCAGTTGGGCAGTGTAAAAATGTAATAACAACAACATTTTTCTTTTAGGATGTTGGGGCTGTATCCCAAATACAAAAAAAATTACATTTAGAATGCTACCACCTTAATAATGAAGCAGTCATTATTCTGACAATATTAACTCTCATATTGCTATAATGCAGGCGATGTCCCAATACAATCAAGCTTATTAATTTAAAAAAGAACGAATTATTGGAATGGGGGAGTTCCTTTGACTTTGGAGAGCAGATAATGAGTGATTGCACTCTTCTAGAGCAGGGTGAAATATAGCCAGACCTTCACTTCTCCCCCTTCCTGCTGCATCTTCCTCTTTCTCCAGGTCTGGGCATGGCCTGGGTCTCTCTCCTCCATGGATACAGAGGTTCAAATTATTTTTCACCAGCTGACGGCTTCCCTTGCAGAACCCTGCTTCCCAGATTATCAGTGCTATGATTAGCTGATGAACAATGCCAAGGCCACACTTGGGGTTGATTCATAGGCCAGGGCTACATTCCCAAAAACAGATGTGGCCAGAATAAAAGCTAATGTTGATTAAACTGGCGACCACATATACCCCTGGGTTCAGCTAGACTGGGGGGCATGCAATGGAGCCAACTCCCACCCTCAAGGGTTAGCAAGGGTCTTCAGAAGAGAATTACACTGATGATCATATTCCTCAGCTGTTCCAAGAGGGCTGCAAATGAACTGAGGAATGGCCCTGCGGGTTGTAAGTCAGCCATGAGCCACATGGGGCCTGGTTTGCCTAAATATGACCTGGAAAGTGGATTGCTGCTGAACTCCTAAACAGTGCAGATACCAAGCTTACGTTTTAATCATTCTCACAGGACGAAACTCTTGCTGGGAGTAACGAACTCCATCAATCATCAATCATGCTTTTAGAAAAAATGTTCTCCTAGATGGTGGCTACTTAAAAATGTGCAAAAGCTTCAAAACTACAGGATTCGGCAGCTTCCTTGTTATCAGAACTGCATGCCACAAACATATACCTAGGATTGTAACAAGAATGGCTCCTTTTGAGCTTCTGTGAACAATTCCAGGAGTTAGGTAACGTCACTAATATTTTTGGAAGGAACCCTTCTTCATTTATTATTTTCCTAGAAGTCCTAGCAAGACACAACAGTGCACTCTCTCTTGAATAACTCTTTGAATGAACTTTCTGCTGCTTTTTTAGTGCCCTTAATTTTACAGATGTTTTGGCCTCCTGCTTTTTAAGTATCCAACTCAAAATAGTTCAGTTTGACTCTTTCAACTTATAGTTGAATATGTGCTAATTGTAAAGATCTCTCTCTCTCTCTCTCTCTCTCTCTCACACACACACACACACACACTAACCTGCAAGATGTACTGGGTGAGGTCAACTGCCTCTTTTTTCTCATGGAGCAGAAGAGTTTCTTTGTCTTCCACTGTGAGAATGTTCACTTCTCCACGCCTCTCTTCTCTTAAACCGAGAGGGCGTTTTCGCACACACACACGGATCTTGTCTGTTTCAGTCCATGGTGTCTCTTTCTCAGAAGCATTAGTTCTACAAAATATAGGATTTCAAATGTGCTGTTATCACATCCTTCAGATGAAAGCATGCAAAATGATATGCATACAATAAAATAGTATTTAGAATCTCCGGTACCCAAATTTTATTTTATTTAGTAAATATAACCTCCCATCAAATATATAGGACAGAATGTTAGCCCCTTCTACATGAAAAGAAGTGAAAATGAAAAATTATTACCTGATGTAAGAATGAGGCACTCCATAATTGTACCCTGAAATATGAGCTACTCTCTGTACAAAGGAAACATCAGTGTCTCCTAAAAGAGGCGCAATATCATTAGATGAGCTTGGAGCTGGAACAGCAAGCTGGTCCTCTGTCCAAACTGCAGGTGCCTTCAGAGAATCCTTTCTGGGTCTTTTGTACGCAACGTCACGGCTGAACACTGCAGCAGGCTCATCTTTACTCTCATTTGAAGAACTGCGGGATAAGGTGCATAACCCAGGTACAAACTCCTTTCCTCCATCTTTTTCCTCGGAGAGGGAATCAAAATGAAGTTGTCTCCGAGGGCCAGATCTGGTGAGCTGGGGTCGAAGGTAGACAGCACTTTTCTGAAAACCTTCTTCTTTTTTCCTCACTGCTTCCTCTTCAGCCTGCAACATTTTAATAATTCGAATGAGCTGGAAGAGGCGCTTGCGGTCCTTCATGTTATGAACTCCAAGTTTGGTGTAATCTTTCATGGAGACCTTGGCAAGTTCATCTATCTTCTGAAAGCCAAGGGCAGTAAAATGGGGATAATATTTTTGAAGTTCTGCCTCACAGAGGCATTCATACAGACATGAGGCCATCTTCTATTCACTGTTGCCTAAATAGTTAAGAAAATAGTTAAGGCAAAATTAAACCTTTCTATATCAAAAAAATGGTTTTTGATAATATGGGGAAAAATCCCCAAGCACTGCTGAGACAAAATTCTAATTTCATGCTAACAGTTTGACTGGAATTGCAATAACTTGCAAGACTATATTAGGATCATGGGAACAGTCCTCAGGAGACAAAACCCATTGTTGCATAATCCCCCACTACCCAGTCTACATCATTCAATTCTGTAAATGGTCAATATTTTTCAATACTAAACAAAAAGTAATTTAATACAATGTGAAAACAATACAGTATAGCCCTTAGGGTTAATTTTTTATCTGATTGCCTGGAAAGAGCGTCTGTTAAATACCCTCAGAATTTCAGTGAACTTAGAGATGAAATAATGTTTATAAATGTTTTTTTTTAAAATCTCAGTTGCTTTTACACTACTCTGCAGCAGACCAACAATTAGGGAGTTAAAGGACAGGAACTTACCAAAATTCCCCCATAAACAAATGAATAAAGAGTTCTGGAAAGTTTCTAGGTTATATTTATATCCCTCCTAATATTTTTTCTCCTCTATCTATGCACCCACTTGGGTAATATTTTATGTGGCTGTTGAACAGAACCTTAATTTTCACAGTAAATATATCAGCCATTAAGATACCATAATACTTTTAATTTATTTTTTGTTTGGGCAGACCAGCAAAGGCCATCCCTCTAGAAAATGCGCCAAACTAGTTACACATCCAAAAATGTTGGTTTTGTTTATTTTGACTGAAGTCCTCATTTGGATCTGTTTTTTTTAAAAAAACCTTCAGTCTACCAGATAGATTGATAACTCATTCCCACCTCAAAATGTACATACAATTGCAATTGCTTTTACCCTTTTTAAAAAAATGACAATATCAGAGAAAGAAAACCACTGTTAAATTGTCCTAATACATAAAGTCTATGCATCAGAACCCTCTTCATTGTCCTGCTTATATTAAGAAACAGATGATTTCAAAGTTACAGCCACAGAACACCAGTTACTGGGGAAAAGAGATTCCAACTGCCCTACGCCTCCCACTAATTTATAAACCTAAAAAGGCAGAAGAATGAACATTCCACCTTTTTATTAAAAGATGGCTTTCATTTCTCTAATCAATAACATCACATCTATTAAAACCATCACCATTTTTCAGGAGTCCCAAAAGCAGCACTACTGAGATAGTGCAGGGTATATAGAAAATAAAATTAGTTAATCAGTCAATCCAATCCAGGTACAAAGGTTCACAGGAAACAAGGGAACCACAGCCACTTACTTGTTTTCTCTTCCTTCCTCAAGTACTGAAGTTTAATGGTACAAGCAGCAGAAATCAGCATAACTAAATTTAGATGCATCTTTTCTAGCCAGCTGTTTGCCCCATGTGCTTCCTTGGTTAACGATCAGAGACTATGAAATGGATATGGATGGATTCAAAAGGTCTTGCCACAAAGGCAAAAGGACTTTTGCTTATATTAAGAGATAAGAAGCTGCTCCAATCTTAAGTATAAAACTGCTACTCCTGAAATAAGAAAGTTTACTTCAGACTAAACACATCTAAATGAGTTTAGTGCAAAGTATTTAGGAAGAGCAACTTAAAAGGCAGAACAATTTTCAACAGGTGGGAGATTTCTCCATAGGGAGATACACACAATTTTTAGTTTGAATTTAAATCAGAAAAATAAAAGGAGAAGTTTGATTAAAAGCCTTAGGAACCTAATGATCATAGACATCTGCAGAGTGGACATCTCTGCTACTTGATGTACGTTTTACCCCAATTATCTTTCAAGGAGCATAAGCAGTACAATAATATCGTTACATTAATAATATAATTGTAGAATAATATGCTAAATGGAGCTGCCCTTGAAAATAACTTGAAAGTTGCAGCTGATCCAGGACACAGCTGCCCAGGCAGTTATACTAGGCCCGTTTGCCATTGCTGCTCCACAAGCCGCACTGGTTACCAGTAGGCTTCTGGGTGCAATTCAAGATCCTAGTTATCACCTGCAAAGTCTTTTCATGGCATAGGGCCTGTCTATGTCTCCTTTAGAATCTGCCCGTCCTGTCCTATCTGACACAGCTGGCATGCTTTGGGTTCCATCAATTCCTGGCCTGGTTCAAACAGGCCCTTAAAACCTGGCTCTTCCTCCAGACCTTGGATTAGTTTGGCTAGTGGGCCCTTTGTGAGAATGCGCTATGGTTAAGATGTTGGTTTTGTTTTCTCTGGGTATTTGCTATTTTTTTGTCCTATAATTACTGTTCATTTGTTTTTACTATTGTATGCAGCCCAGAATCACTATGGAGTCAGAAGCCTTACAAATATGATAAATAATTTCTCAACCGATTTTGAGATAGGCTAAGTAAAATGTCAGTAAGTGGATGAAATTTTTCCCACAGAATGAGGAACTGCATCTATGCCTTCCAATTTAAGGTCCCAAACCTTTGCCCTCCTATGCTGCAGTTGTTGCCTAAAATGGCCTCCCTATCGTCTCTACAAATTTAACAGCTGCATAAGAAAATTCTTCAGAAGTAAATGGTCTTTCTTTGCTATTTTTTTAAAAGAAATACCTTCCTGTTTTGGGTGCTATATGATGGCACATAAATAGGGTGTGTGCACTTTCCCTTTATATAAGTATTTATTAGACTCATATTATCTGATAAGGCAAAGATACCCACAACCATACAAAAATGAAAAAAAAAATGGCCCCAAGCTGACAATAGCATCACAATCACATCACTGAGATTTCCTAAAAACATTTTTTGGAGACTAGTTCTGAGACATGCTAAACCACCAAGAAATTTCTCATAGGAATAAATGGCATCTTGGAGGGCGATCTGCATTAGGGAGTGGAGAGGAATTTTGCACCGAGATTTAAATTTCAACAAGAACAGCTGTTGTTATTTCAGTCTATTTTTCTCAATGAAAAACGATACTGGGGCTCACAGTGATAATCTTGCCTTGCCCAAAGGAAATCGTTCCATCGCATTCTTCAGGATGTTCTACATTAGCCTTCTCAACTAATGCTTCTGACAATAAAAGACCCAGAAGGAACCTCATCTTAACAGGATTCCAATACATGGGGAGGCTTGGAGTGGAGGGAGAAAAGAACAAATGACTCTCCAGCTAGAACAGAGAGCCTCTCTTCTGTTTCCACGGAGGAGTGTCACTTTCCTGTTCTCTTCGCAAGAAAACATCGTAGCCATGAATGACTGGTAACACCTTGGCCTTCCTATAGTATATCAAAACTCTTAGAAATCTCCATTCTGCCAATTCTCCCCTCATTTTTTAATAACAGAGTTTGCGAGGAAGAATGAAGGAATAAAAAAAAAACATCAGAAGGAGTTCTATAGATGTCAAAGCAACTGGAAATACTGATCCAATTAAAGCAAACCCCCCCCCCCCGCCCACCAAACCTACTAAATGAACTTCATCAATTTCCTGATTATTCTTTCATACTAGCTTTAGCCTGATGATCTCACTGGAAAACCCTCTACACCACAATTGATACAGGGCATCTGCTTTAAGCAACAGCTGATGTGGAGCCTGGAAGCCTCTCATTTTCCTGGTGCATGAATAAAACAAGTCTGGGTTATCCCAGGAAGCTGAAAGTAGTAAATTCTTTCCTGTAAGCAAAGCTTCCAGAAGTCCAAGGATGTTTTCTTCATTATCTTCCTACATAAAAGAAAGTAGGTCATTACATACTTGATGTTTTTAATTGCTTCATTCTTGTGCTTGGGTGAGGTGTCTTTGGACAACAACCCGTGTTTTTTCCTTCAGGCTATACTGTAGAATGATAAGAGGAGGAATCTCCTAGAAAAGCAACCCATACTTCACCGAGAGCTTGTTCCAGCTCAGAAGAAGAGATCACAAAGCTCAAGGGAGCCTTGAGCAACCTGCTGGCAATTATGGGATTGGTAGTTCCTAGCAAATTAGCGAGAATGAGAGTAAAAAGATCATACAGGTAGTCCTTGTCTAGCGACCACAATTGGGACCGGCAACTTGGTCATTAAGTGAAGTGGTTGCTAAGTGAAACCACGATCATACTTATGATCTTACTTTAGCTTTCCTTTGCTTTACAGACCTGTGAAGGTCATAAATGCAAGGATTGGTTGTAAAGTTACTTTTTCATCTCTGTCATAACTGCAAACGGTCACTAAATGAGGCAGTCACTAAAGGAGGACTACCTGTGCTATCTTTTACTGAATACAGGTAGTCCTTGACTTACGACCATTTGTTTAACGACCATTCAAAGTTATGACAGTGCTGAAAAAAAGTGACTTATGACTAATCCTTGCACTTACAACTGTTGCAGCATCCCCACGGTCACATGATCAAAATTCAGGCACTTTGCAACTGGCATGTATTTATGACAGCTGCAGCATCCCAGGGTCATGTGATCGCCATTTGCAACCTTCCCAGGGGACTTCCAACAAGCAAAGTCAATGGGGGAAGCCAGATTCCCTTATTGACCATATGATTCACTTAGCGACCATGGTAAAAAAGGTTGTAAAATCAGGTGCCACTAACTTAACAACCGCATTGCTTAGGAATGGAAATTCCTGGTCCCAACTGTGGTTGTAAGTTGAGAACTCTCTGTATAGTTACAGCAGTATATCTGAAAGTCACCCAGTCCATTCTTCAGCGCATCACATAATCCTCTCAAACCATATTTTGGGCCTTACAAAATTGGGCTGTAGTTACTATGCTTGTGCAGTTCTTCTCTGAAGTCCAGAAAAGAACTACAAATTGAAGTTGAAACATGAAGTCTTTAACACAAAGAATATGTGCCTTTGCTATCCTGAAGCCCTCTGCAGCCTTGGAGTAAACCTACTCAAGAGGATCCAGACATGTGATGCTGAAATGATTCAAAGAGGGTGAATGTGCCTCTCAAGTCAGTTTCATCAAAAGAACTAGACCAGCTTGGGAATCCAGAGATTCTAAATGGTAACGGACATGCAGAATGATTAATGTATTATTCCACACAATTCCTTCTTACTTCCAGAAAGACTTTGAAGAAAAACAAGACACCCTGCAGTAGAAGGAGGAGATCCTAGTTGTCCTACCTTCTCTTGATTCTACCACAGCCTTGAAAATATGTATGAAAAGAGTCGTGCGTCTTCTGGTCACCTGATTCCTCTGATCCCTTCCACTACCAACAATGGCACAAGAACTGTCTCCCAATGGCTGCTGCCTATTTAAGCCAGAAGAAGCAAATGCTGCAAATTAATGATAATATTTATCAGTCAGGCAATCAGCAGCCCTGTCCTTCTCCCACACTATTCATAGATCTACCACATCAGTCCAATAATCTAGTCCCAGTCCATAAACCAGGAGCAAGCAAGAGAAAGCCATGGTATAAACATAGCTTCTTACTCAAGGAATGGGCAAGGTATGTCATTTTTTTTTTGGTGAGCTGCCTAGAGTAACTTATATAGTGAGATGGGTAGTGTATAAATTTGATTTATAAATAAACAAACAAATACCACAGAGAGAATAAGATCCACCACAGGATTATACACACCTGCTAATAGTTCCTTATGGCTGCTCCCAAAGGAAGCTGCATTTCAATAATTCCTGAGCAATAAAAGGATACAGGACTATGTGCTAAATGACCCAAGCGTGGGATCAGCCTACTATGTCATCTAGCCTATAATTTTAATGCACAACATTGTCTCAAATAGTCACTCATGCCCCTGCCACTTCACATCTGGACTACTACAACCTGCTCTACATGGGGCTGCCTTTTAGGATTACTGGGAAGCTGCAGCTGGTTCAGTATGCAGCAGCCTGAGTTGTTATGGGTTTGCACACCTTTGTGTGGCACTTCTACTCAGCAGTATCCAAAGGCCCTCGGATGGCAAAGCTCACACTGAAAAAAGGAGGGGTGCTGGCATTGCAATGCCACAATACTACTTTTGCCAGTCTGACTCCCTGTGCCTCCTCCACAGACAGTGCTGCTTCTATTCTGGGCACTGCATTCCCTGCTAGTTAGAGGTGTCAGCTGTTACCTTCACAGCTGTCTGTGGCTCAGAGCTTGGGGATCTCTGGGGCCCTGCTCCAAGTGGAATTTGCCCATCTGATGAAATCAAGGAGAAAAGGCATGCTAAACGTCCCACCACCAAAGAACCCCAAAGTCAAGCCTTGGTATCCTCTGGAATAGCCTTCCCTGGGTACAAGGATGGCCCGTTCCCTCTTTAGGTTGCAAAAAACTGAAGACTGGGCTCTTTGGATGTCCTTTGGGGATGGGTGACACGGATGGCTAAAGTACCCATGGGCATTTGTGTGCTAGAGAGGGAGCAGTTAATGGTGTGCTAGCTGTTTTCTGATTCCATTTGGTTGTGTGTACTGTTTGAACCCTATTGCTGCATCCTGTTAGCCTTACAGAGGTCTGTGAATACCTAGTTCTTTGCCAAGGCTCTGGACTAGGATAGAAGCGAGTTCAGCAAATGCAAGAGTATGTAGAGTTTATGGGATGTTGCGGCACTGTGGTTGGGATATATAGGCTTGTCATGGGGCTTGGTCAGTTTTCTTTACAGTATTCTGTTTTTATTGAATATTACTGTGAGCTGCCTAGGATTATCTTCTACAAGACAGACGGTCCTGTAAGTTTCTAAATATAAAAATAAAAACAAAGTAAATCCTGGCCCATACACTGCCAGGAGTCATCCAAAGGGAGCGACACAAAAGCCTTAGTTAGTTAATTAAACGCAGCTTTTGAAAAAGAAGAAGCGACTCAGGTCAACGAAAGACCAGAGGAAAAGAGAAGGAAGCAACCAGACCAGCTTCACCCCGCACCAGGGAAGTACCGCATCCCTCAAGCCACCTTCTCCAATGTGGTGCCCCTGGGCCAAGGGGCGTCCGGGAGGGGGGAAAGCCCCCAAAGTTTATCTTTGCCTCTTTCCCTCGATTCTCCAGCAGATTCCAGGATTGCTCTTCCTTCCAGGACTTTCTGATTTTTCTAAAAAAAAAGTTTAAGCAAGCTAATACAGTCAAATACAGCCTGGCCGCCTGTTTTTCAGAGAAGGAAAAGTCCAGCGCGAAGCGAAGCATCACTTTTAAACGGTCACAAGCGATACCAACGCCACATCTTCCATCTCAATAGATTATTATTATTATTACTATTAGGCTTCAAGCACGACGGTGCGGCCATCGCGGACTCGTTGCCATGACAACAGGACCGAGGCCTTTCCGCGTCCTGTCCGCGCCGCTGTTCTTACCGGAGGGCTCCTTCCCTAGCCTTCTCCCGGCGACCTCTTTCTCTCCCCCGCGCGGCGGCGCCTCATCTAAACCCCCCGAGCTTCTCTCTCGGGGCGCGGTGAAAACAGAGCCGGCGAGGCCGCGTCTCCATGACAACGCGGCCAAGCCTACCTTCAAACCCTCGCGCCGCTCCGGCGCGCCCTTCTACATCAGCGCAGCCGCCCAATAAAACGACGCGATGAAGGAGGAAGTGGGTGCGGCCTCAGTGGTCCAATCAAAAAGAAGAAAAAGTGCGGGAAAAAGACACTCAGAGGGCGGCAGCACCTACAGAGACTCTCTTTCAAAGTCTATCCTCCTAGTGGTCTGTTGCCCATCAGTCAAACTACAAAATCCAATCACAATTTTACTCTCCAAATAGGTCACCCCTTCCGTTGTTGTCCCTCGTTGATTGGATGGAGTCGCCTCAGCGGCGTTAGCAGGAAGCATTGGTTGTATCGTCAGCTAACAGATGACGATTGTGATTGGGCGATCAGGTTGCCACATCGAAATTGGCAGGCGTCAAAGCCAGTGGCAAAAAATCCCAATACTTCCGGATTGTGTCTTGCCCAATCCGAAGTTTCTGGACTTCAACTCCCGCAATTCCACATCCAGCATAATCCTGGGCCGACAGGATTGTGGGATTATGGGACTTGAAGTCCAGCTATCCGGATTCTGGCCATTGTTTTTCTAGGGGGCTCGCTTGGAGAGGTACGCCGGGTTGCTGCCGCGGGAGGTTCTCGGTGCGGTCCGCCGGGATCGCAGACCAATGGGTGTCTGGATGTGGATTCAGCCTGGTTCCACGGTGCAAGCCCGTGGTTCCAGCTGGCCAAGAAGGTCTTCCTGCAGATGGAAGCGCCCAATAAATTGTGCATCGCTTAGTGCAGATAATTGCAACCACATGCAGTTACTATTAATAATAATTTTTAAAAATTATTATAATTATAATTGTTATCATTTTCCATTTGCTATTAGAATTGCAGCTGAAAATAGGCCCTCTTTCCCCATGCGGGATGGGTTGCAACAGGAACGGGGCTCCAGCACCACCTGGCTGGACTACTGCAATGCGCTCCGCTGGGGGCTGCCCTTGAAGACCTGCCTTTGGTTCAAAATGCAGCAGCCCAGATGTGGACCAGCACGAGAGGCCAAGACCGCATTGCGCCTGTGCCCAGGTGGATTCTGGGTGCCGTTTAAAGTGCTGGTTGTGACCTGCAAAGGCCTCTACGGCTTGATGCCCGGGCACCACCTGGATGGCCTCTTCCAACTGGATTCGACCCTCCTGTTAAGAACATCATAGAAAAATGCCCGTAAAATTTGGGGCTGAGGCCAGGAGGAGATGCCATACAATGAAACCCAGAAGCATCTGCAAAATCCAAGGATGTTGTCAAATTGGCACCATTGCAGCGCAGGCGCCACCCCTTTGTTCATGTGTGTGACACCACAACGCGTGCGCAAAAGGGGCGGAGATTTTGGTATGATGCTTGTTGCGTCATTTCCCCCACCCCGGATCCCTTTAGCAGAACAGCCCTGTATTAGTTAACGTGAGGACATGAGCCATGCCCTGCTGGGTCGGACCCCTGGCCCAGCTAGTCCACCAGTCTGTTCTCCCAGTGGCCCAGCAACTGCCCGAGGAAGCCCACTGGTCTCCCAGCAGATGGCCCTCAGAGGCAGCCCCACGGCCACCAAGGCCACGGATCCCCAGGACTTCCATGAATCTGCCCGCCCTGTTTTGAACCTCAGCGCTCTTAATTTAGCTGAGAGAACGCCATAGGAACTTTATATTGCTCTGTTCAGTTACCAGTTTCAATGGTGGTATTACAACTTTATACTGTGAAAATGTCACCCTTATGTTGAATTTTTCTGCACACCATTAAGAGTTGTGCAATGGCGGCGGTTTAGAAATCAGATCAATTAATTAAATCAGCACCTTGTGCCCACAGGTAAGTTGGACTATAACTCCTATCATCCCCAGCCAGCATGCCCAATAGCAGAGTTATAATGTTGTAGTTTGAGGCATCTGAAAAGCCCCATCTGGAGAAAGATGGCTTGTAAGTCAGCAAGAAAAATGGATGTAGTGTTTTTCTTTAAAAACAATTAATAGTAAGGAGGAGAAGGGGAATTACAACATACATCTCTAAATTGTAATGTCTTATGTGAGAGGAGGATAAAGTTATCAGAATCCATTAGGAACAATCTTATTCTCTACATGTAACTGACGGAATGAAATGAAATTTTTGTTTTCTGCTCGTCTGATTTAATACTGCAGATTCCCTCGACGCTGCTCAAAAGCAGCTCACCCTGATTCAAATCTAAGTCCCCATTCGTGTTGTGCAGTTTTCCTTTGTTTCCTTCCTGGGTTGAAGTGGGAAGCCAGGACTTTAGGAAATCAGTGATGCAGCATCTGCCTTGCCTGCAGGAAGTTCCAGGGATCTCCAGACCGGGCCAGGAGATCCAGATCCTGCAGAGCCCTTTCAGTCAATGTGGATGAAACTGAGATGACGCAATAATGGTTTGATTACAGGCTCCCAGAAAACCAGATCTCAGAGCTATGAACTGGGAGGGTTGGTCTTGCCATCAACCCCGACGCAACCCATGTGGTGCAGTAGTTTAACTGTTGCATTAGGAGGTCCAGGTTCAGGAGCACCTTCAGCCATGGCCCTCAACGACTTTGTGACTTTGGGCCACTCACACCCTTGCGAGAAGTCTTTGGTGAATGGTGCCTTGGGATCTGTCTTCTTCTCTTTAACTGCGCCCAGGCTTTTGGGGGGGCATGCCCCCATCTCAGAGCTTGCCATTGCTAACACTGCTCCTTTGTGTTTCTTTTCGGTAAGACAGTCATGACCTTAAGAGCGTGTGGCTTGATTATCTTCAGGAAGATGCCCAAGGCATCTGCTGCCGCGGCTGCTGAAGGCAACATCGAATACCTCCTCCTGCAAACTTCCTATGGGACTCATCACTGGACGCCCCCAAAAGGTGCGTTATTCACCTGTCCTCTGAAGGAGCCCTGAAGGAGATTTTCGGGGGGGGGGAGATCAGCTGATCAAGAAATATGCTTTCTTTAAAAGAAATCTCTCAACAGAGCAGTTGGAGTCTTTATAAGCCTTGTGTGTCTTACTCCTAACCCCTGTACCACACTGTAAGTCCGCCTGTGCTAGGTATAATTTTCCTGGAGTTGCAGTCCAGAGGTTTTTAGATTATTTGGCTAAGGTTGCAGAGTTACCTGCCATGTGGGGGGCATCACACTGGCGGTGCACATTAGATACAGTCTGGGGGGCATAGGGACTGGGATGATGGAAGCTGGAGTCCAGATAGCGGCCACCTGGGGAAGGATGCTCAGTTATTAATTTACTTAATTGATTTGATTCAATAGAGCCACCCACTCCACAAGACAATGGGCGGCTTAAAAAATCCATTAAAAAAATTAAACAGTTAACCATTAAAACCATTAAAAAATATTCTTGCTTAAGCATTTAGAGGCCCTAAAATGTAGCTAGTTGTCCTTTAGGTTCAGCATACCAAGAAACAACCGGGGTCTTGGATCCAGATTTGATTTCTTATTTGGCCGCTTGGCAGAGTCTGACTTTGGGAACAGGGTGCTCTTTTATGTCTGAGATAGATTAGCGTAATTGAAGTGTTTTCTGAGGAACGGTTCCCTCTTATTTTATTACCTGCTCCAAAAGTTTCTATACCACTTCCCGTGAAAAGAAGCCTCAAGGTAATTCATGAGGAACTCTTCCAAAGCTGAGGGCCCCTTCCTGTTGGTTGGTAGCTGGGAGATTGTAGCCTAACAACCTGTTTTGTCTTCACAACCTCTTTTGTCTTTTGTTGGGTTTCACCTACAGCAGTGTTTCTCAACCTCAATGACTTTTAAGATGG